GATTTTCTTTTATTCTTACTATTTGCTTTTATTTTTGTTTTTGTTTGTTTTTTGTTGTTTTTGTTGTGACTTTTTACTGCCTTGTTTTGTGACGTTCAAAAATCATATAAAAATGATCAGAATATTTTGTCATCATTGCGGAGATTCACATGCTGATTCTTCCAGAATTGAAACCTCTTTATGAACCATGTTTATAAAAGTGGTTTATAAAGTTTTCTCACGTTGTCACCTCTTATCATAGAACTAGAATAATATAGAAATCATAAAAGCACTACAAATTTAGATAAAACGCAATCAGAGACTCAGACACATTAAATGATTTGATCATAAGTTCCTTGCCATCACATATGTGCTTTATAAACACAATTATAACAGCCAAAGAGAAACTTATATTTAATAAGTTAAGGGTCAAGAGCCCAACTAATCACCAAAACGGTAAGTTGAAAAGAAAAAACAACATCTAAACCTTAATTCTCAATAAAGAACTTCTGTTTTAGATACTCCAGAAATAAAGTCTAACTGGTTAGTAATGCATGAAGCTGGTGATGCTGTCTGTGGAGATGATTAATCATCTTCTGCTGAGATCTTGAGAGATTTAATGTCTTTTATTTCAGTTGATTTCATCTAAGGCTGTGGCTGAAGTCAGGTGTAGTTCTTGGGTTTCTCTTTTCTTCAGTGATTCTGCTTGTTAACAGCAGCTGTTCATCACTAATGATCAATCATCACTTAATTAATCACTTAATTATCTCATTAACTTTAACACTGCTTCAGTGTTACTTTAACACTCTTTTAGAGTGGGACCATATATGCTCCGAGCAGTGTTAATTTAACACTCAGGATTTTACTGTGTATTAATCATATAAATCTTGCTAATATTAATCATTCACAATATTGATCACACTTTACAGTTTAACTCCTACACACAGTAATTGCTCACGGTCGAGTGAATTACAGCGTTGCGAATCGGTTCACCTGAATCAGTTAAAATAACGATAACGATAAAATAACGAGGGAACTGGATTCAGCAGCGGAAGTCGTCATAGTTGGGTTAACTTGAAGAGCAGTGAATGGGAGAGTACCACAAAAATCTTTTTTTGCATTCCCATTTGCTCAAATAGCAAAAGAAAAACTCCACGATAGTGTTTTCATGACTTTCAATAAAAGGGAAAATATTGAGAGCAACTGATAACGGCTGTCAGAAGAGAGAACGATGTCAAATTTACCGTCCCTCCCATAGATGCTGCATTAGAAACCTTTGATGCAAAGCTAATATAAGCTACAAAGGATAGTGTTATAAATGTACACATAAAAAAAAAAATCAATCAAAATATAAAAAAAACTTTTGAAGGATTTATGATGCTATATAACATATATATATATAACAGATCAAAATATACTTCATAAATGCTCTGGAGGGTTATAGAAGTGGATCAGAGGGATTGCTGGCTTCATTTCCCGCCATTATCTCCTCTGTCATGCAGTGAAACACAGCGTGTCTCTAGCGGCCGACAGAAGAACTGCGACCCTCAGAGAGACCGTCGAGTTGCACCGTGTCAGTATCAGACGAGACTTTATGACAACTTCTGTCTAAAACACTCGGTTTATTTCGGTTAATAGGTGTGTAAGGGCGAGCCCAGTACATGAGAAAACGGACATGCATAAGATGAGGGCGACAAGAACAAGTTATACGAGTCATTCTATGGAAATGTCTTTACAGAAATATTACACTTGATAAACACTCTAGGGGTGCAATTTATTTATATTTTAAAATGAAACAATATGTTATTTGAACAACTACACCTTCTAGAGCCATCAATGTGGCAATATTTTTTTTTTTATAAATTATAAAGAATTCCAATCACCACAAAACTGCTCATCCCCACAGTTTTGAGGTCAAAACCGTTTTTTTCTACCATTTAAAATACAATAAATTATTTTATTATACTTACATGATACATTTGATAGCTATGAATACATTACTGTCAATAATGTATTCATAGCTATCAAATATATCATGTAAATATATCATGAAAACGAAATGCCAAATAAATATCATAAATGATATACTGAAAGTAGTGGTCCCCTGGAGTTGTGTCACTGGTGCTACCGTTTAACAAAAATTGTTTATTTTGAAATAAAAATCACACTGACATCACTTGACTTCCTCCTTCCTGTTTCCTGAAGATCTATGAAGAAAGGTCCATGATAAGTCCACTGTCTCTTTTCAGATATCAGAAATGTTCTCATTTATCTCATGATTTCATATGAAGCTTTTAGTGGAAGTCACTGGCATGACCTACGTCATTGTTAGGGAATTGTAAAAAACTAGAATACAAATGGATTGAACTACTTCATCTAGTGAGTATACCATGATTGACAACATGTGGTTTGATACCTTGCAGCAGACATTTTGTAAAATGCATTTTTCATGAAAATTGTCACTGGTGTTACCTTCCTTATGGTTAGCACCAGTGAAGATCAGTTTATGTTTATGTTCTTTTACTAACTGCTTTCACTAATTGCTTAATGTATGCCAAAATAGTCTAATTTACTTAAAGTTGAAGAATAAGGATCTTTGGTCTTGTCACTGGTGTTACCGTGTTTTTTCTGTCACATTCAATAAAAAATAATAATAATTTTACATCCATTTAATTCTGCTACACTCAAGAGTTAAGATTTAAAGGATTGCGTCATTACTTGTTTATAACTGTTTTTTTTTTCTTCAAATATTTTAATTGTTATAGCAAATGCATGGTTGTGCAAATGAACTAACATAGAATAAGGATCTTTGGTCTTGTCACTGGTGTTACCGTGTTTTTTCTGTCACATTCAATAAAAAATAATAATAATTTTACATCCATTTAATTCTGCTACACTCAAGAGTTAAGATTTAAAGGATTGCGTCATTACTTGTTTATAACTGTTTTTTTTTCTTCAAATATTTTAATTGTTATAGCAAATGCATGGTTGTGCAAATGAACTAACATAATTCAATCACACTTTTAACAAACCTGATTAAAAAAAACAAAACATAATCTCCTTATTTGTTGCATTATCGTTATTTTTCTGTAACTCTGACTACATGTGCTGAAAAAATCGAGAAATAATATTTCATAATATTGCCAAAGTAGTAAGATAACACCAGTGACAAAAAGAGGGGGAGATAAAAAACCATTAAAGGGGTCATAGGATGCCCATTTTCCACAAGTTGATATGATTCTTTAGGGTCTTAATGAAAAGTCTGTAACATAGTTTGGATAAAATTTCAGCCGCATTCATCGTGAAACTTGCTAATTAGCACATTATTAGGAAAGGCGATTTGCAAAGATTCATAACAAAACCTTATACTCACTTCTGCTGTAGATGAGGCTGGATCATGAATGATTCGCGCGGACATAGATGCATTTATGTAGATCAGGGGCGCATTCCCTTCAGAAACAAATGTAATCCACTGTGTCTTCAGCGGCTCAGAT